GGGTTTAGGGTTTCTGCTTCTTCTTTGACTGCTGGAAATCGGATGAACACACTCTTAAAGGTCTAAGTACATGCGGGTCGTTGAGGGCTTGCCAGTAAGGTTGTGCAAGAGCAGTTAAGCTGAAGAGCATGAGGGTGGAAGGGGTTTTGGGCTTAGGGTTTAGGATTCAGATGTTGTAGAATTGAGAATGCTGTCGTTCTAGGTTCAGCTCGTATTCACCCTCTAAACCCTGAAGCCCTAAACCCTAAATCCCCAACCCGAAAACCTGAGCGAAGCCCTCCCCCTAAAACCCTAAAACCCTAAACCCTAAACCCTAAACCCTAAACCCTAAACCCTAAACCCTAAACCCTAAACCCTAAACCCTAAACCCTAAACCCTAACCCTAAACCCTAAACCCGAAGCTCTTAAAGCACAGGCTGCTCTTGAAAGCGCCCAAGAGCGCCGCAGCAGGAGCCCGGAGTAGGGTTTTTGAGCTTTTGGGGGTTTAGGGTTCTTTTAGGCTTTAGGGTCCCTAAACCCTAACCCCTAAACCCTAAACCCGAAACCCTAAACCCTAAACCCTAAACCCGAAACCTTAAACCCTAAACCCTAAACCCGAAACCCTAAACCCTAAATCCTAAACCCTAAACCCTAAACCCTAACCACAGCACCCTCAGGGTTGGGGACTTGAGGCTGTCGAGCTCCCAAAGCTCGGGCATCAGCCCTCAAAGTCCTTGAGACTTTTGCGGGGCACCTAAATCCTACACTAAACCCTAAACCCCAAATCCTAAACCCCAAACCCTAAACCGAGGTTTGGGGGAGCCCAAACCCTAAGCCCTAAACCCAAGACCTCATGGGGCCCCAGGCAGTGCGGCGGGAGATACGTAACCCTAGGGCCTAAACCCCCAAAGCCCTAAAGCTAAGATTCCGAAAGCCCGGCGCTTTTAGCCCCGAAATCGGCCCTAAACGCCTAAGCCCCCTAAATCCCCAAACCCTAGAACCTAAACCCGTGTGGGAGGAACTTTTGTGGACATTGGATCCTACATGCGTCTTGACACCAAAAAGGCGAAAGCCCTTTCAGGAAAGGCTGACGTGTTTAGAGCTCCGGTTTTCCAGGGTGGAGGGTTCAGGGTTTAGGGTTTAGGGTTTAGGGTTTAGGTTTAGGGTTCCATCAGAGAAGTTAGTGCCAGTCCGAGGTGTGCTGCGTCTGCGCTTAGGGTGTAGGGTTTGAGGTTTAGGGTTTGGGGTTTAGGGTGCTGAGCCCAAATGCCTACATCTTGAGCTCAGTCTGACTCCTAACCCCAAAACTTTCAACCCCAAGCCGCTAAACCTCCGAGACCCCTGGAGTCCTAAACCCCAAAACCTTGAGAGCCCCGTGCAAGGCACCTAAAGCTCCAGATGAAACCCCTAAAGTTCCAGCCTGAACCCCTAAAACCTAAACCCGAAACCCTAAATCCGAAACCCGAAACCCTAAACCTTAAACCCAAACCCGTGAAACCCTAGACCCTAAACCCTAAACCCTAAACCCTAAACCCTAAATCCTAAACCCTAAACTCTAAACCGTGAACCCAGCCCAGGTATGCGATTCTCGTGGGCATGCAGGCCTATGGCTTGGGCGGCAAGCCCCTAGGCTCCGTGGCGAAATTCACGGACCTCTGCAGGCAAGACCCTTCCGTCGTTGTTCCTGTCTCCGTGTCTGTAGGGTCTAAGGTTTAGGGTTTGGGGTTTAGGGTTTAGGGTTTAGGGTTTAGGGTCTAGGGTTTAAGGGTTTGGGTTCAGGGGTTCAGGCAGGCTTTGGGCTGTTTGATGTCTTGGGCCCGAGGCCTCATCCTCAAAGCCGGTGGGTTTAGGATTTAGGGTCTAGGGCTTAGGGTTTAGGGTTGAAGGCTCAGTGAGTTTGCGCAAACCCAAAACCTGTGTGGCATTCCAGGGCTCAGGGCTTTGAGGCCAGGGTTCAAGGCTTCCCATGGATTCCGAGTGTTCTTAGCAGGGTTTAGGGGTAAACCCTAAACCCTAGCACCCTAACACCCATAAGCCAGAAGCTCCAAAAAGAGTTCAAAGGCTCAGTCTGCCCCCCAACCCGCAGGGAAGTGCTGGGCGTTGCATCGATGCCCGAAGATGAGCACTTGGCCCCTTGGGCTGCATTTGGGGGGAAAGCTGGGGGTGCCTTAGGGTTTATGGTAGGGTTTGTGGTTTAGGGTTCAGTGTTCAGGGTTTAGGGTAGCACTCACCCCGACATGCCTAGGCTGGATTTAAGGCTCTGTGGGTCCCAACCCCTCTAACACTTCCCTGGGGTGCTGGACGCTTGATGGGGACGGTGAGCGCATACCTAGGTGCTAAGGGTTTTCACGGTGTCGCCGTGTCGGGGTTAAACCTTCACAATGAGCCCAAGCAACCTTGCACACCCCAAGCCGGCAAGTCTCGAACCTGAAGCTCTGAACTATACACCCCCCGCACCCCCAACCCTTCTTCCCCCAACCCTTCATCCCCACCCCAAGCCTTCGGGTTGTATAAGGGGTCCCGCAAGTGAGTGCGATGAATGGTACGGTTTCTATGCCGGGTTCTTAGCGGCTTGGAAGCAGAGGTTGCGCCTCAAGGCGTGATAGGGTCAAGAGGTAAAGATTTGACTCAGGAAGGTGAGAGTTTGGCTTGCAAAGGGGATGTTGGCATAGAGTCAACCAATAGGAAAATCGACTCTTGACTCGCTCCTTTTCGCTTCGCTCCCCAGAAATACGACAAGGAAAGAGATAGCTCACAGACCCGTTCGAAAGATGTATATATCCCCATACAGGCCCGTTTTAACTGGGAGGGGGTCCCCTCCTTTTGTTTTTCTCTCCCAGGTCTGCGGCATCTGCATTGGGTGGCCCACCGACGGCCGCGATCCTCGGGAGAAAGCCGCTGCTCGGAGTCATCAAAAGCACCTAACTGTGGTTTAGGGTTTGGGGTTTGGGGTTTAGGGTTTAGGGTTTAGGTTTTAGCGCCTTTGAGAATGCCTAGACTTTTCTCGGGGGTTTTGGGACCGGACGTTTTGAGGAGAGGCGTTTTGCGCAGGTTTTTTTGGCGAGCTTCTGGTTTTTTGACCTGGGGCGGAAGTGTGGGGCAGTTGACGTGCTACGAAGAGCACACTCGGGACCTGTGTTGTGGGCGAAACTTGTTGAGAAGGTTGTGTTCTCTTGAAGGCAACTTTTACATGTCGGACTCTTTTGGTATTTTGGCAGCTTGGTGGAGCTTCTTCTGCTTTCTGCAAAATCCTAAACTTGGGATGTTCCCCCTTATACTAGCAGTCCTTGATAGGAATTATACGAGGGGGCTCCAATCCTAAACCCTAAACCCTGAACCCTAAACCCTAAACCCTAGAACCCTTAAACCCTAAACCCTAAACCCTGGAACATCCCAATCCTAAACCCTTAACCCGATGGGTCGCGCCAAAAAGTGCAGCTGGAGGATTGGTTCCCGAGCCGCTTGCCGTCGGATGAGACGACGTGCTGGGCTGCCAACGAGGATTGGTGAGAGGTGGAGCCACATTGTTTTTACGGCTTAGGGTTTAACAAACCCTCAAACCCTAAACCCTAAACCCTAAGCCCTAAACCCTAAACCCTAAACCCTAAACCCCAAACCCCTCAACCCTGGACCGGCTGGTAGCCCTCAAACTGTCTCCGCCCCCCGCAGTCCTCGATTTTTCAAGGCCTCCGCCCCCCAACTTGGTAGCCCAGCGGGGCCCTTCTGCCCTCTTTCTGGTCAACCCTAAACCCTAAACCCTAAACCCTAAACCCTAAACCCTAAACCCTAAACCCTAAACCCTAAACCCTAAACCCTAAACCCTAAACCCTAAACCCTAAAGCCTAAAGCCTAAAGCCTAAAGCCTAAAGCCGAAAGCCTGAAGCCCAAGAAGGGTACCCCCTTATGAGAACATGGTTACTGGGCTACCAAGCCAAAAAGTTTCAGTTTTCTGAGGTGTGGGCTTCCGCCTGCCAGCTCTTTGGCCTGGGGGTTTGGGGTTTAGGGGATTTAGGGTTTAGGATTTAGGGTTTAGGATTTAGGGTTTAGGGCTTGGGGTTTAGTGTTGAGGGTTTTCCGGTTTTAGGGTTCATAGGGTTTAGAGTTTTTTGGGATTTAGGGTTTATAGGGTTCTTGGGTTGAGGCGCCCCCCCAAAGAGCTGCTAGGTCTGCACTCTTGTCAGCCTCGTCCCCTGCCAGCTCGGACTGGGGGTTTTCCTGTGCAGGAACGCAAGGCGGGTAAGCACAGCTCCCCGAGTTGTGGCAAAGCCACCGAGCCGGCAGGGAAAGAAGCGGGGCCGAAACTCCGGCATCCTGGAAAAGGTTTAGGGGATGCTTTGTCTGCTTGTGTTATGAGCAGGAACGGCTGTGGGCTGCTAAACGCGAATCACCCAATGCCCTTGGGCCCCGAACCCTAAATCACAGCCCTCTCGCTTTAAGGTTGAAGGTTGAGAGTTCAGGGTCGAAGGTTTAGAGGTTTAGGGCGTGGGGTTTAGGATTTAGAGTTTAGGATTGGTAGGGTTTCCCACGAAGACGCATGTGACTGGCACCATACAAGCGGTGTTAGGGCTCGGGTTTGGAGCTTCCACCGAATCTTCAGGGTCTGGTATGAAAGAAAGCCCTAAGCCCTGGAAGGCCTCAGCCGCCCCAACTAAAACCTAAGCCCTGCAGCCCGGGAAGCTCAAAAAGCCCAGACCTGAAACCCTAAACCCTAAACCCCAAACCCCAAACCCTAAACCCTAAACCCCAAACCCTAAACCCTAAACCCTGAACCCGAAACCCGACACCCTGAACCGACCCGTGCTGCGTTCTAGGGTTCGGAGGCAGGCCGAGTGATTCATCAGACGCATCTTTTAGGGTTTAGGGTTTAGGGTGTAGCTCCCCCCCTGCAGAACATCGTGGAGACTTTTCTTCGACAGTATCAGCCCTTTAGCCCTTGGGGTTCGGAATTCAGGGTTTAGGGTTTCTAAGGGTTTAGGGTTTAGGGCTTAGGGTTTAAGGGTTTAGGAAAATATCTGGGCGCCATGGAAGAAGTGTGGAACGCCTTTCGCCGTGAGCTGGGTGCCCACGGTGGGCTGACTGGGGCACAGCTGCAGGCGCTCGGGGTTGGGCTCAGGGAAGTTTGGGGATCCCTTCGGCCTGAAGCACGAAACCCTGGAAAACTCCAGGTTTCGGGACCCTAAACCCTAAACCCTAAACCCTAAACCTTAAACCCTCAATTCTCAACCCTGAGTCACTTGGTGAACGGCCGGGGTGGATCGCTCGCCCAGAAGTTTTGATGGGCTCCTGGTTCAGGGTTAGGGTTCAGACATGAGGGTTCAGGGTATAGGGTTTAGGGTTGAGGGGTTGGGAGGTTTACTGCTGGTTTGGAGGTAGCAGATTCCTCCCGAACCTTTATTTTACCTACTGGCTCTTAGTCGGGAATCCGCAGGTCCGAAGTACCAGAATCCCGAGTTTTCTCTAGCAAGAACCAGCCGGCTTAGGGTTTCGGGTCTGTGGGATCCCCTGCCTTAGGGCGTGAGGTTTCAGGGTAAGGTTCATAGGGTTCAAGCGCAGGATCCAGGTTTTGGGGCTCGGGGGTTTCGGCATACTCTTGCTGCTGCCGAGCAAAGGCGGACACTCTGCTGCTACTCCTACCTTAGCTGGGCCCAAATGATCCTTAGGTAAACAGAAAGGACGGTACTGAACGCTTGTTTGTATGAGAAGTTTTGCTTTCCGCTTGTTTGCATCCTAGGTAAAGAGGGCAGCCAGGGCGCGCGCAGTATAGGATCCCCAAGCCCAAAGCAGTTGAGGATGTAGGTTGAGGATGTGGGGTTTGAACCCAGTTTAGGCCCAGACCCCAAGAAGGGCGCCCTCTTTCTGCTTTGGTTTCAAGGCTCAGTGTGCAAGAGGCTGAATAGCTACCAGTTAACCCTAAGCCCAAAAATGCTTCCTCCGAAGTTCTAGTGTAAAGCTGATACTGTGACGCGCCCCACGTGTCCTAACTCCTTAATCCGTTTCGTACATTCCTCCCCCCCCCCCTCCCTCTTCATCGAAGAAGTCCAGACCCTCAATGCTTGAATGTAAGAAATTGAATAGTCTGACCTGAAACCGCAAACCTTGCAACCCCTCCATAATCAGAATGCACACTCCCTGGACCTTAAACACCCCAAACACCCCCCAAAACCCTTAATGATGGAGGCCCCCCCTGATTATAAGATGGTTACTGGGCTACCAAGCCAGACACTGGAGACCAGGAGTTTCTCATCCGCTTGGGGATCGACCCTGCCCACGTGAAGGACCTTCTGAAGGAATTTTCCGCGGATCCGCACCAAAGGCGCGGGGACTCCTGGCCCTGAAGCTCTTAAACCATCCTGACGCTGAAGCCGTAAAACCCTAAGCCCTAAAACCCTAAGCACTTCAAACCCTCAAACCCCAAACCCTGAACCCTAAAACCCTGAAACCATCAAACCCTAAACCCTAAACTCTCAAGCCCCCAAAACCCTAAGTCCTCAAACCTTAGGGTCGGGGGCTCGGAGGCTCAAAGAGCCTTGGCGCTTCGGTGGGCCAGGGTAAGGGCTTAGGGTTTAGGGTTAAGGGTTAAGGGTTTAGGGTTCAGGGTTTATTTTGCAAGAGAACCTGTCTTGATGAACTGTTTCGCGTTTTTTCGGGATGTAATGACTTAGATGATCTTCTCCAGAGCGTTCCAGGCAAACTCTGCATGCATGCCACAAAGCCGCACCCTAAACCCTAAACCCTAAATCCTACACCCTAAACCCTAAACCCTAAACCCTAAACGAAACCCTAAACCCTAAAGGCCTAGGCCCTACACCCTAAGCCTCCCATGCCGGAGCACGTCTAGATTCTGTCGCCCTGAGTTTCAGGATAACCTCGACAGACTCTCTCTTCCTTACCTTAAGCCCGAAACCCTAAACCCTAAACCCTAAACCCTAAACCCTAAACCCTAAACCCTCGTAGACACCCTGCAACTTGTCCCTCCGGAGGTTTGACTTTAGTGACTTCCTCCGCTTCCTTGAGGACCTGGGGGTTTTGGGCTCATGGTCTGCCCTAAACCCTAAACCCTGAACCCTGAACCCTAAACCCCAAACCCTAAACCCTAAATCCTAAACCTTAGACCCTAGACCCTAAACCGTAAACCCTAAAACCCTAACACCCAACCCTGAACATTATAAAGTGTTTGAAGTTGTTCTGAGCAACCCGCCCTAAGAACTCAAAGGCCCCCGGAGCCCCTAAACCCTCAAATCCCAAGCCTTTTTCCCTACCCAAACCCGTTAAACCCTACCCTACACCCCTCAACCCCCAAACCCTAAACCCCTCAAGCCCCCAAACCACTCAAACATCACTCTAAACCTTAAACCCTAAACCCGAAACCCTAAGCCCTACAGTAAACCCTAAGCCCTAAACCCTAAGCCCTGAGCCCTGAGCCCTAAGCCCTAAACCCTAAACCCTAAACCCTAAACCCCTCAAAAAGCCCCCCCCCCCCAAGTCCGCAGCGGAGGAGGGCCTTGAGGGCCCCGAGGGCAAGGCCGCCCGGCCGTCCGAGTCCAAGCCATTCGACCTGCTCCCCGGGCTGCACGTCATGTGTAGTTTAGGGTTTAGGGTTTTTTTGGGGTTTAGGGTTTGGGGTTTAGGGTTTAGGGTTCAGGGTTTTAGGGTTTAGGGTTTAGGGTTTAGGGTTTGGGGGTTCAGGGTTTAGGGTTTGAGGTTTAGGGTTTAGGGTTTGGGGTTTGGGGTTTGGGGTTTTAGGGTTTAGGGTTTAGGGTGTAGGGTTTGGGGGTTTAGGGTTTGGGGGTTCAGGGTTTGGGGTTGGGGGTGGGGTTTAGGGTTTGGGGTTTGGGGTTTCGGGTTTAGGGTTCAGGGTTTGGGGTTGAGGGTTTGGGGTTTAGGGTTTGGGTAGGGTTTGGGGTTTGGGGTTTAGGGTTTCGGGTTTCGGGTTTAGGGTTTGGAGTTTGGGGGTTGGGTTTTATGGTTTAGGGCTTAGGGTTTAGTTCAGGGTGTTGGGGGTTTAGGGTTTAGGGTACAGGGTTCAAGAGAACCATTTGGCAGAATTACATGATGTTGGTTGAAGATTGGGGGCTGTCGGGTTCTTAAGGTCAGAGTTTAGGGCGTCAAGTCATGGAAGCTTGAGGACCTTGGAATTGCGGGGCGTCGGGGAGATGTAAGGTTTAGGGTTGAGGGTTCAGGGCTCTCAGTGCTTGGGTTTGGTGACTGTTAACCCTAAACCCTACACCCCCTGAAACCTGAATCCTGAACCCGAAACCCCCCAGGGGTCATCGTATACCCGAGAACTCTCATACCCGAAACCCTAAACCCAAAACCTAAACCCTAAACCCTAAACCCTAAAACCTAAACCCTAAACACTAAACCCTAAACCCTAAACCCTAAACCCTAAACCCTAGACCCTATACCCTAAAGCCTAAACCCTAAACCCTAAACCATGAACCCCAAACCAGAAACCCTAAACCCTAAACCCTAAACCCTAAAACCTAAACCTAAACCCTCAACGCAAACCCTAAACCCTAAACCCTAAACCCCAAACCCCAAACCCCAAACCCTAAACCCTAAACCCTAAACCCGAAACCCTAAACTCGAAACCCTAAGCCCTGAAACCCCAAACCCTAAACTTCCTAAGCCCGAAAACCCTAAGCCCTCCTCATGTCCTGGCCTGGCCCCAGGATTGTTCTTGGCTGTGGCCCCGCGGGCGTCAAGGCGGCCACCGAGGCCGAGAAGGGAAAGGGTTTAGGCTGTAGGGTTTGGGGTTTAGGGTTTAGGGTTTAGGGTTTAGGCCCAGGGTTTAGGTTTTAGGTTTAGGGTTTAGGGTTTAGGTGTGGGGTTCGGGTTGTCTCAGAAGATGATGTGGTGTCCATGGGAACAGTTAGGGCTCTCAGCCCTCCATCTCACCGTGGTAAGACTGCCTAGATTTTAGGCTTTAGGGTTTACTGTGGCACTCCTATTCTTGCCCCTCCTTCCCTACTCACCAACGCTAACCCTAAACCCTAAACCCTAAACCCTAAACCCTAAACCCTAAACCCTAAACCCTAAACCCTAAACCCTAAACCCTAAACCCTAAACCCTAAACCCTCAACCGAGACAAAATTTGCCGCGGTCGACCCAGGCCGCCAGCCGCGGGTACCACGTCGGCATCGTCGAACCCCAGGTGCAGACCGTTCCTCTGGTCCCTAAACCCTAAACCCTAAACCCTAAACCCTAAACCCTAAACCCTAAACCCTAAACCCTAAACCCTAAACCCCAAACCCTAAACCCTAAACCCTAAACCCTAAACCCTAAACACCTAAATAAACCCTAAGCCCCTAAACCCAAATGCTGGTTTTGGGGCAAGGTGCCGGGGTGGCTTCACAGTGGTCCGAGAAAAGCCTTGTCTCCAAAAGACACCAAGCCCCTTCGAAGTTGCTGGTGGAATCTGAGAGCTTTTCAGGGCACTGTCCTCTGGGTTTAGGATCCTAGCGCGATTCAGAAATTGGACGCGACTCAGGAAACCAGGATTCAGGAAACCAGCCCCGCGAGTCAAGAAGCCAGGATTCAGGAAACTATGCGATTCAGGAAACCAGGATTCAAGAACTACGCGATTCAGGAAACCTGGATTCAGGAAACTACGCGATTCAGGAAACTGAAAAACTGCGATTCATGAAGCTGCGATGCAGGAAACTGAAAACACGCGATTCAGGAAGCTGAGGGAGGGGCTGGGGGGGGGTGGGGGCTGAGGGGGGGGCTGGGGGGGGGGTCGGGGGGGGGGGGGGGGTTGGGGGGAGGGGGGGTGGATGATAACGTTCATGTCCGCGCGCTCCAGTTTCGTGAATCAGCTGGTCTCCGAACCCGCGCGCTCCAGTTTCCTAAATCAGCTGGTTTCGCGAATCGTGGTTTCCCGAATCCGCGCTTTCAGTTTCCGAATCCGCGCTTTGAAGTTTCCCGAATCCCCGGTTTCCGAATCCGCGTTTTCCAGTTTCCTGAACAAGCGGGTTTCCCGAATCCTGGTTTCCCGAATCAGTTTCCGAATCCGCCGCGGACCTGGGTTTAGGGTTTAGGGTTTTGGCCCTTCTTGTTTTTTTGCTGGGTGGCAGGAGAAGCCCACTGGTGCTCCCACTGGCGCATACTCCAAGTGCATCCGGGAGGCCGTACCGGCGACGGCACAGCAGCCCAAACCCCTCAGCCCTAGAGCAAAAAGCCCCAGGTTCATAAAGGGTTTAGGGTTTGTTTCGGGTTTAGAGTTTAGGGTTTAGGGTTTAGGGTTTAGGGTTTAGGATTTAGGACTTACGGTTCAGGGTTGAGGGCTTAGGGTCCCCTTGCTTTCTGATCGCGCTCATGTTTTTACTCGTGTTCGAGGGAATCCCCGCAACGTGCCTGGAAACTCATATCGCCCTAAATCCTAAACCCAAAACGTTAAACCCTAAATCCTAAGTCCTAAACCTTAAGCCGCTTTCTCCCTGGTCATTGAGCCTTTCATTGCTGCTTCAGGCCCTAACCCCCTAAACCCTAAACCCTAAACCCTAAACCCTAAACCCTAAACCCTAAACCCTAAACCCTAAACCCTAAACCCTAAACCCTAAACCCTAAACCCTATTCAATCCCAAATCATCCCAAGGTGATGGCCAAGAAGTGGACCTGGCCCGAGATCCACGACATGGTCCAGAAAATCGTGGCGCACGCGCACGAAAACACCATGCGCCTCCTGCACGCGTGCCTTGGGCGTAGGATCTAGGGCTTCAAGGGGGCTTTAGGGTTTAGGGTTTAGGGTTAGGGTATAGGGTTTAGGGTTTAGGGTTTGGGGTTCAGGGTTCAGGGGCTCAGGGTTTAGGGGCCTGGGTCTTGAGGGGGGGAGTGCAACACTTCAGCTTGGTGGGGTGCTTTTGCATTCGGGGTCTTTTGGGGGTTTAGGGTGTAGGGTTTAGGTTTTAGGGTTTAGGGTTTAGTCTTTAAGGCACCAACATTTTTACCTTTAAGCGAAACGACGAGGTTTCACATTGACGTCCTCGTGGGTGCCGCATCCTTCGTCGACACCAAGACGATTCTCGGACTTTTGTATTTTGGAGGGCTTTCCTCTTAAACCCTAAGCCCTAGACCTAAACCCTAAACCCTAAACCCTAAGTCCCCCGAAGCGCTAGTCTCAGGTTGAAGTGTGTTTTGGGGTTTTGGGGCATTCGTATAGCTTGCTTTGGGAAGGGGTGTTGGGTTGCCCCTTCCGCATCCGAACCGAAACCTGTTAGGGTTTAAGGGTTTTAAGCTTGTCCTCTTCCGTCCTTAGGAATCTGGCGTGCTTTGGGTGCATATACAGATTGTTGGGGTTTTCAGGGGCTTCAAGGGATTTGGGTGCTTCCCCGCCCTTGCTGCCCCAAACCCCAAACCCCAAGTCCCAAACCCCAAATCCCAAACCCCCAACCCCAAACCCCAAACCTCAAACCCCAACCCCAAACCCTAAACCCTAAACCCTAAACCCCAAACCCTCGAATCCCCAAACCCTAACCCCCCCCCCCCCCCCCCCAAAGAAAAAAGAAAACAACGCTCCGAAGCCCCCAGGATCTCTCTGGCAAAGCCCTCGGGCGGCACCCGCACCCTCGAGTCCTCGGCCTTCGTGATCGCCACGGGGTCCAAGGCCAACCACCTCCCGATGAGCCTCGGGTTTGGGGTTTGGGGTTTGGGGTTTAGGGTTTGGGGTTTAGGGTTTAGGGTTTGGAGTTTAGGGTTTAGGGTTTGGGGTTTGGGGTTTAGGGTTTCGGGCTTAGGAGTTTGTTTAGGGGCTTGAACCCAAAGAATATGTGGGAGACTGTGGAAGCGTGCTCCTGAAGAAAGTTCTCATGCATGTCTGACACCATATGGTTCTCTGAGAATTGTGTTGAGGCCGGACCCTAAACCCTAAACCCTAAACCCTAAACCCTAAACCCTAAACCCTAAACCCTAAACCCTAAACCCTAAACCCTAAACCCTAAACCCTAAACCCTAAACCCTAGTTCAGGGCTTATGGTTTAGACTCTTCAGACTACACGCCATTCTACGACACACCGTCAATCACTATAGCCCTAACCGCCTTAAGCCAATCTCAAACCCTAGCCTGAAACTTACGACGTGTAAGACCTAAAAACGTGGGTTGATGGTACATGTAGTGATTGAGGGCTTCGGTGGTTTGAGGACTTGTTTTGAAAGCCCTCTTAAGCTTTAGCTAGCTTTATTTCTAAGGGCCAGGCGTACTCCAATTGTACATTTAAACACCGGTCCCAAGAGCGGCTAGAGTTTCGAGATTGGGGGCTGTTAATCCTCAGCCCCCTAATCTCTAAGCCCTCAAACCCTAAACTCCAAGAATAGACCTGAAATGTAAAGCCGAAAGCCCTAAACTCCAAGACCTAAGACCTAAACCCTAAACCCTAAACCCTAAACCCGATTTCTAAACCCTAAACCCTAAACCCTAAACAGCTACACCCGAAACCCCAAACCCTAAACGCTACGCGTCATCCTGAACCTCAATGAGGCTTCTGCGCCCCAGGGTTTAGGGCTTGGGGCTTCTGCTTAAGGGCTTACAGAGGCTTAGGCAGTGGAGTTTAGGGTTTAGGGTTTAGGGTTTAGGGTTTAGGGCTTAGGGCTTGGGGGCTTTTGGTTCAGCGTCTGCAGGAGTAGGCCTTGATGGTAACATGCACTGAGCACCCATCTGGGTCCCAAGGATACCCTTCGACCTCCCTGGCGTCTACGACTCGGACACAGTCAGCTGCGTGGCGGAGCTTGTCCCCTAAAACCTGAAACCCTAAACCCCGAACCCTGAACCCTGAACCCTAAACCCTGAACCCTGAACCCTGAACCTTAAACCCTGAACCCTCAACCCTGAACCCTAAACCCTAGACCCTGAACCCTGAACCCTGAACCCTGGACCTCCTCAAAGCCAGGGTTTCAGCCGACCGGCAGATGTGAAAAAGCCTGAACCCTACAGCCCGAACCCTAAGCTCCAAGGCACCCAGCCCTAAGCCTTAGAATTCCCGACCCCCAAACCCGAACTCCCCAACTCCCCAATTCCCCCTAACCTCTAAACCCTAAACCCTAAACCCTAAACCCTAAACCCTAAACCCTAAACCCTAAACTCCCCTAAGCCCCGACGCCTCTCCCCGCCCCCAGGCCAGATCGACTTCATCCCCAAGTCTATGGTGGTGCAGGGCGCTGGCATCATCGGCCCGGGCCCAGGGTTTTAGTGTTTGTTGTTGGTTGGGTGTTCTTGGGCGTTTTATGTATCTATGTGTTTTTACCGGGGGGGGGGGGGGGCTTTTCATTTTTTTGGCAGGGGGGGGGGGGGGGGGGGGGGGGGTTCAGGATTTAGGTTTAGGGTACAGGAAGTTTAGGATTTAGCGTTTTTTAGGTGTAGGGTTTAGGGTTCAGTTCAGGTTCTTTTGGGTGCAGGGCTAGGGCTTGTAGGGAGAGCGGGACTTAGTTCTTTGGTGCATTGGCACCTGTTCTGCAGTGGGCTAGTGGATGTATCCATGTTCTGAACAGCAACCTGGCAGCCTTGCCCCTGTCTCTAAACCCTAAACCCTAAACCCTAAGCCCTAAACCCTAAGCCCTAAGCCCTAAACCCTAAACCCTAAACCCCAAACCCACCGGGACCTGTGAGTCCCTAAGCCTTGAAACCATAAAAGCCTGAACGGCGTTCGGGTTCGCGCAAGCTCGATTTCCTTCACCCTAAGCCCTACACCTTCAAGCCTAAATGGGTGAGGGTCCCTCTTTGGGGTTTAGGGTTTAGGGTTTTGGGTTTTAGGGCCTCATTTTAAGGGTGCCGTACTAGGGGACCCAAAAGGGGACCATAACTTACAGAGCCTTCCTAGTTTTCCGGAAAGGAAGAGGCCCTCAAGCCCCCCAAAACCCGAAACCCAAAGAAGTTAGGGTTTAGGGTTTTAGGGTTTAAGGTAACAAGCCCCAACCCTAAGCCCTAAACCTTAAACCCTAAGCCTCGAAGCCCCCAACAAGGCTTGGAGTATGCCAACATGTTCGCCAAGCTGGGCGCCCGTGTTGTGGTGGTCGAGTTCGCGGCTGCTCGCCGCGAGAGGGCCTACGGATTAGGGTTTAGGGCTCAGGGTTGGGACCCCAAACCCCAAACCCCAAACCCCAAACCCCACACCCCAAACCCTAAACCCTAAACCCTAAACCCTAAACCCTAAACCCTGGGGGGTTTCAGGGCTCTAGGGTCGAAGGCTCTCAAAGTGCGACACTCGGACGTAGGAGCCCCTTTGTCCAACTAACCTATACTATAACCCCAAGACGGTTTAGGATTTAGGGTTTAGGGTTTAGGGTTTAGGGTTTAGGGTTTAGGGTTTAGGGCTAGGAGGGAAGCCTCCAAGCCTCAGGACAAGATGTTGCAGATGTTGGATCGTGAGCTGCAGGCCCTTCACACCGCCACACTTCCACGAGAGACCGAAGTCCCGACCGCAAGTCCTAAACCGTAGAGTTTAGAGTTTAGGGTTTAGGGTTTAGGGTTTCAGGTTTCAGGGTTAAGGATTTAGGGTTTAGGAGTTAAAGCTTAGGGTTTTTGGGTTCAGGATTTAGGGCTTAGGGTTGCTAGAGTTTTTCTAGGGTTTAGGGTTTAGGGGGCGCAGAAAGCCCTTGCTCCTTCCATGCACCCTAAATTCTGAACCCTGAACCCTAAACCCTGAACCTTAAACCTTGAACTCTGCACCTTGACCCCTGGTCTTCGCGTCGCCTCAGAGGATTTTTGTTGGGTTTCGCGTTTTGGGTTTCGGGTTTTGTGGGTTTCGAGCTTCGGGTGTAGGGTCTGGGTTCTTTTCTGGGGCTCCGGGCTTGTGAGATTATGGGTTTAGGGGGCTAGGGGGGTAGAGGGGATAGGGGTTGGGGATCTGGCCTCCCTGCCTTAAGCCAAAACCCTAAACACGCACACCCCTAAACTCCCTGAATGCCCTGAGCTTCCCTAAACCCTTGACCCTGAACCCTAAACCCCAAGCCCCAAACCCTGTGGGTTCAGAGGGTTTACAGGCTTTATAGGTTTGATGGTTAAAGAATTCATAGGGTTCAATTGGTTCTTTTGTAGGGTTTGAAGAGTTCATAGGGTTCATAGGGTTCATAGGGTTTTTTAGGATTTATAAGTTTTTAGGCTTTATAGGTTTTATATAGGGTTTAAAGAGTTCATAGGGTTCACAGGTTTTTAGGGTTTGTAGGGTTGGCAGGCTTTATAGGTTTTATATAGTTTAAGAAATTCTTAGGGCTCATAGGGTTTAAAGAGTTCATAGGATTCATATAAACCCTAATCCCTAAAGCCCTAAGGCTTCAGGGGTTTCAGTGAACGGTCTCCCTCGGCAGGCGGCATTGCTGGCCGACCTGGCGGCGAACAAAGTGGAGATCCTTCTCAAGACTGTGGGGTTTAAGATGTATTATAGGGTCCTTAAGGGAGGGGGTACCTAGGGTAGGTACCTAGGGAAGCTTAGGGAGCCTTAGGGAGCAGTGGGGTGGGTTACATACCCCCTTCGAACCCCCCCCCCCTCCCCCCCCCCCCTCCTTAAGGATCCAATAAGTTTAGGGTTCAGCATGCAGGGGGTTGATCCAAACAAGGGCCCCTTCGTCCAGGGTCTAAAGCCTTTGGGTGTAGGGTCTCTAACAGCAGCAAGGGACCATGCTTTTCATCACCCCCTACACCCCTAAACCCTTAAGCCCAGACCCCATATGGGCTTAGGGTTTAGGGTTTAGGTTTGGGGTTTGGGGTTTGGGGTTTGGGGTGCTTGAGATGTTGATGGCGGCTATGCACAGGGTTGAAGTTAAGGCCAGAGCTTTCACCCCACAACTCTCATAGCCTTGATGACATGAATATCCCACACCTCAAGAACCCCAACAACCTGAATTAATAACCCTACTACCCCAAAATGCTAACCACCGATGTCGCTTTTGAAGTTTCAAGCTGATGCGGCAGGACCTCCATCACGACTGTGCGGCTCGCCTGCGTTGAGCGGCCCTCGTTGGATGAAGTTGCATTCAAAGGTGTAGGGGGTACCTGGACCCCCGAAACCCTAAACCCCAACCCCAAAAAACCTAGACCCCAAACCCTAACCCTAGCTCTCGCTCTCTCTCTCTCTCTTTCTCACTCTCTCTCTCTCTCTCTTTCTCTCTCTCTCTCTCTCTGTCTGTGTCTCTCTCTCTCTGGCTCCCGTCCGTCCGTCCGTCTGTCTCCCTCTCACTCACTGACTCACTCACTGACTCACTCACTGACTCACTCACTGACTCACTCACTCTCTCTCTCTCTCTCTCTCTTTCTTTTTCTCTCCACAAGTTGGAGTCTCCAAATGGCAATCTCTCGCACCCAGCGGCAAACTCGTCTCTTAAGGTTGCACGGTTCGCAGTAGCAGAGAATTCTAGCAGAGCACCCTAGCAGAACACCAAGTACGGAGAGTTGTGAGGTAGGTTCTGGGTTTCTTTGGTTTTGGGGTCCCTGCTGAGCAGATCGGCTTGCCCTTTCCACTTGAGGCCCCAGAGTTGAGTTACTCGTTTTGCGCTTCGTGTGGGGGTTGCAAATGTGAGCTTTAGAGGGCGCCATTGAGACGGTCTTTGTTTTTTTGCCCTCCGACCCAGTCCCACATCAAGCCCCAGATCCAAGGTACCAAGGCCCGGATAGGTACCCGCTTTTTGTTGAGACTACTTCTTTCTCAATATTCCAGGGCACATTGTCTTCTAGGGCATCCTGATATCTTTCAGCCTTTTCTCACAGGCACCCTGCGCCTCAAAACCCGAAGCCCTGATGTGGGGACCCAAACCCTTAGCAATATTATTTATTTGATTCCATCATAATTCTAATCCAATAATAGAATATATATATATATAAATAATAATAATAATAATAATGATAATAATAATTATCATAATAGTAATAATAATAAGAATAATAATACTAATAATACTAATAATAATAATAATAATAATAATAATAATAATAGAATATATATATATATAGAAGCCATGAATTTTAGCTTCGCCGAGGCGCCCACAGGAGGCCGGCATCCGCGGGAAGCCTTCGCTCATCGTGGACACCACGGGAGGCGAGACATCGTCTCGGGGCCCTAAAACCCTAAAACCCTAAAACCCTCAAACCCTAAACCCTAAACCCTAAACCCTAAACCCTAAACCCTAAACCCTAAACCCCAAACCCTAAAACCCTAAGACCCTAAACCCTCAAACCCCAAACCCCAAACCCTAAACCCTAAACCCTAAACCCTAAGCCTTAAACCTTAAACCTTAAGCTGGTATGATATATATATATATATATATATATCCCAAACTCCCATTCTAAATTGAGCAGTTAAACCCAAAACCCTAAGCCCTAAACCCTAAACCCTGAACCCTAAACCGAAAACCCTAAACCCCGAACCCCGAACCCTAAACCCTAAACCCTAAACCCTAAACCCTAAACCCTAAACCCTAAACCCTGAACCCTAAACCCTAAACCCTAAACCGACTGCGGCCCCCTAAGCTGCGTCTCGAGAAGCCTCGAGGCTCCTTCCGCTGCGAGTGCCTCCTTTCGGCCGTGGGCCGCTGCGGCACGACCGATGGCCAGGGCCACGGTGAAAGTTGTTTGGCGCTTGGGGCTTAGGGTTTGGGGCTTAGGGCTTGGGGTTTAGGGCTTTGGGTTTAGGGTCGAGGGTTTGGGGTTTGGGGTTTAGGGCTTGGGGCTTGGGGTTTAGCGTTTAGGGTTTGGGGTGCAGGGTTTGAGGCTTGGGGTTTGGGGTTTAGGGGTTTTCGGTCGGACTTGCGTCGTTCGATCAATGAAGCAGGGTGGTGCTTACCGGGGTGACACAAATAATTTACGCATCGCGGCTCAGTTTAAGACTGATTTCGTCTATCCGCTGTAGGCAAGAATCAATCGAAGCGATCCGTTCAAGATCAAGAGGCAGCTTAGATGAGCAATGAACCCTTAAATCCTGAACGCTTACAGTAAACCCTTGAACCCTTACACCCTGAAACCCTTGAATGCTTGAACCCTTGAACCCTCAAACCCTGAAACCCCGAAACCCTTAAACTTCTGAACCTTGAACCCTTGAAGTTTGTCTCCTTGAGTGGTCCTGAACAAAGAATGCTGGGGTTTGGGGCTTTGGGGTGTAGGCTTTGGAGCTTAAGGGCTTTAGGTTTCTAGGTTTAGGGCTAGGGTTTAGAGATTAGGGTTTAGGGTTTATGGTTAGAGCCTTTACAAAGGCCCGAGCCAGAAAGGCCTCAACTCCCCCAAACCCTCCCTAGTACAGCCTCTCAACCCTTTCCCTAAACCCTAAAGCCCTAAATCCTAAACCCTAAACCCTAAACCCTAAAGCCTAAACCCCTAAAGTCCTAAACCCTAAACCCTAAACCCTCCTGCTGCCTTGAAAAGAGCAGGTCTGGGACTTGAGAAGATTGGGGTCACCATCGGCGCCTGGTCCGGGTTTACTATTTCAGGGCTTTGGGAGGGGCTTAGGGCTCAGGGCTTAGGGCTTAGGGCTTAGGGCTTAGGGCTTAGGGTTTAGGGTTTGGGGTTTAGGGTTTAGGGTTTAGTTCAACCGAGACCCTGAACCCAGAAGGGTTGGGGTTGTGCAGGTCTGCCAAGGAAAGGGAGATTCCTAGGCTGATGTGGACGTCAGGGCTCGGCTCATGTGCTCGATAAGCCGCAAACCTTAACTGGGGGCAGCCTCAACCCTAAACCCTAAACCCTAAACCCTAAACCCTAAGCCCTAAACCCTAAACCCTAAACCCCAAACCCTAAACCCCTAAACCCCTAAACCCTAAGCACTAAACCCGAAACCCTAAACTAGCGTGAGCGGAGGGTTGGGGCTCGCTGCTAGATATGCTACAGATGCTTGGGCCTTGCCATCTACTCTGCCCGAATCCCTAAACCCTGGGTTTAGGGTTTAGGGTTGAGGGTTCAGGGTTCAGGGTTTAGGGTTCAGGGTTTAGGGTTTAGGCCGTGAACCCCAAAACCTAGTAGGGGTCCCTTGGAGGTTCCCCCCACCCCCCCACACACAAGGCAGCTCCCATTTTGGGATTCCTGTGTAGATCTGCGTAGAATCCGCATCGTCATCGGAACCTCACATGGCACAGACCAGAAGCTCTAACCCTAAACCCTTCACCCTCAACCCCCCTTCGAGAACGGGCCACTTGGAATGAGAGATTCGCCCATTTCAGGCCGAGGGAAGATGATCCAGGTCGACGAGCTCCTCGTACGGGAGCTGGGGGGGCTTCGGAGTTTAGGGGATTTAGGATCTAGGGGTTTAGTGTCTAGGGGTTCAGGGTTTGGGGTTTAGGGTTTAGGGCTTGGGGTTTAGGGTTTGGTGTTTAGGGGGTTTAGGGTGGGGGGTTTCGGGGTTTAGGGTTTCTCGGGCCGCACGGTCGCATCGCTATGGCCGGTTTAGTTTTTTTGGGGTGGGCTTATGGTATCCTCCTTTACATCGTACCTCAGGAAAGGCCCTGAAATCATCGTAGGATCCCTACAAGAACTTAAGGAACCTTCCTGAATGAAGGTGTCTTGGGCTCCCGGTGATGAGGCCTAAACCCTACACCCTATAAGCCGCAACCCTAAACCCTCAACCCTATTCTATGAACTCTAAACCCTAGAAGGAGGGCAACCAAGACCCAAAATTTTGGGGATGGAAGGGGGTTTCGGCGTAGGGTTTAAGGGATTTTGCGCTTTGTGGATTAGGAGGCTTATTCAGGCGGTCAGACATTAATACCCGGCACCCAGGAATCAGTATACCGGCGTGGCCAACATCTACGCTGTGGGAGACGTCGCCGGCGGAAATCTTGCGACCATCGGGCAGGCTCTGGACAGCCGGGCGGGAATTGAGTTTCATGTGGGGGTAGTTGTCAATCTAGACCCCAAATCCTCAAGACCCCACATCCTAAACCCTAAATCCCTCAAGGTTGCTTTTTCATGTGGGGGGCCCTTTGCTAAGTTCCCTCGACCCTAAGCCCTAGACCTTCGGGAGCCTTCGAGCAGCCACCGCGTTCCTGAGCCCAAAGCCCCAAGCCCTGAACCCGTCTGCGCGCATGGCCCCGACATGAAAAAATGGGACGACCCTCCGGAGCCAGGACCCCTCCCGAGCCAGCAGGACGACCGGCGTCGAAGCTGGCGAAGCCAGGAATGCCCGAGGGAGCAGGAGAAGATGAGCTGAAACCGCGTACACATGGCGCCGATCAGGAGGAGAAGATGTGCTGAAACCAGCGTCGCCGCGACTTCCTAAGCTAGGATCCTGGAGTGCCGATCGAGGGTTTTTTTTTGCATGTCGTTTCTTTAGGGCTACACGGGTGTTCACGGTATTAGGGCCTCAATCTGCTAAGCCTTAAACCTTAACCGGGAAGGGTTTAGGCTTCCGAGTCTAGGGTTCAGTGTTCACCCAGATCAGCCTGCCGCCACCTCTCAGGTTGCAGGCCTTGTGCGCGCAGCACGTACGGCTTCGAAGACGGGACGTCGGTATACAGTATACAGAGCCTCGTACTATTCTCGTGTCTCTATTGTCTCATTGACAAGAACCCTCACATACCCTCAGAAATCATGAAACAGCCCCAATACAACGTGATGCAAGAAGTCGTTGACCTTCGTAGCTGTCCCACACACAACGCAGTCACATGTCTGCCCATAGGGATCGTATCCTAGCTGACGGAAGACGTGGGGGTATGCCCTTCTACTGGGTGCCCACAGACTCTAAGCGGTACTTTCCTGAACTCACCAACGTTAAGCCCGCCTTACCTCATCCTGTCGCAGGCACAGGCCGTGCGCGCCGTCCGGCGGCTATTTGGCAGCGGCAAGTTCACTCTGGTCGACAAGGTTCCTTGTAGGGTTTAGGGGTTAGGGGTTAGGGTTTAGGGTTTAGGGCGACCCTAAACCCCCAACCCCCCCCCCCCCCCCCCCCCCCCCCCCCCCCCCCCCCCCCAAAAAACAAAGCCCTCAGAAGTGGCAGGCCGTGAAGCCTTACACCGTTTGGACCATCCCGGAGATCTCCTGGGCCGGCTTGAACGAGCAGGAGGCTCCACCCCCAGGGGGGGTTTTGGGGTTTAGGGTTTGGGGTTTGGGGTTTAGGGTTTAGGGTTTCGGGTTTACTGTAGGGTTTAGGGTTAGGGTTTGGGGTTTGGGGTTTACTGTAGGGTTTAGGGTTTGGGGTTTGGGGTTTGGGTTTAGGGGTTTGTGGTTTAGGGTTGAGTGTTGAGGGCTGAGCGCAAGAACGCCCCAGGGGTTAGGGTATTTACGGTTTGGACCCCGAAGCCCCGAAGCTCAAAGGCCTTCCGCAGGTTCTGGTCTAGGGTTTAAAAGGACTTTAGGGATTCTTAGTTTTGGTCGCAGAACTGCAAGAAGGCTTAAGCGGCTTAAGCCCTAAATCCTAAACACCCTAAACCCCAAGCCTACACCCTTAACCCTAAATTCTAACCCTAAACCCTAAACCCTAAACCCTAAACCCTAAACCCTAAACCCTAAACCCTAAACCCTAAACCCTAAACCCTAAACCCTAAATTCTAACCCTAAATTCTAACCCTAAACCCAAACCCGGCTGAGGATGTCGCTCGGGGTTTTGGACTTAAGGATCCGAAGCCTGGAAAGCCAGGTTGGGTTAGGGGGTTAGGGTTTGGGGTTTAGGGTTTAGGGTTTAGGGTTCAGGGTTTAGGCTTTAGGCTTTTGGCTTTTCGGGTTTCGGGTTTATGTTTCGGGTTTACAGTTTCGGGATCTTGCCTCAAGTTGAAACTTCGCTGCCTGCGGTGCCATGTCCACATTCTTCCGCAGCAGTGACGTTGTTCTTCAGACGGCGTTGCCTTGTCTGGCCCTAGCAAGGCCCTTAAACCCTGAACCCTAAACCCTGAACCCTAAATCCTTAACCCTAAAACCCTGAATCCTAAAGCCTAAAACACCAAACCCTGAAATTGTTTGAGGCCGAGCAGAAGAATCTGAACTTCGGTGTGGTCCGCGCAGACTACGGCAAGACGGTGCGCGGCATTGCGGCTTGGACTCACTTGTAGGGTAGGGTGTAGGGTTTCGGGTTTAGGGTTTAGGGTTTAGGGACTTACTTTAAATTTTAGGAGTTTAGGGTCTTTGAGAGTGGCTAGTTGAGTGTTTATGGGTGTCGGGTGCTAGAGTGCCAGGGTTTTTCGAGTTTAGGCGCCTGGTCCCCCCAAAGCAGCCAAATCAGCCTTTAGCCCCAAATCGAGGGAGGGCTCTGAATCACCCTAAACCCTAAACCCTAAACCCTAAACCCTAAACCCTAAACCCTAAACCCTAAACCCTAAACCCTAAACCCTAAACCCTAAACCCTAAACCCTAAACCCTAAACCCTAAAACAACCTAAACCCTAAACCCTAAACCCTAAACCCTAAACCCTAAACCCTAAACCCTAAACCCTAAACCCTAAACCCTAAACCCTAAACCCTAAACCCTAAACCCTAAACCCTAAACCCTAAACCTAAACCCCAAACCCTAAATCCTAAACCCCTAGAACGCCTTGAGCCCTAGGTCTCTGGAGAGCCGGGCTTTCTGAAGCTGATCTTCGACAGCGGCTGACCTCGACTTAAGGTTGAGGGCTTGGGTTTAGGGTTTAGGGTTTAGGGTTTAGGGTTTAGGGTTTAGGGTTTAGGGTTTAGGGTTTAGGGTTTAGGGTTTAGGGTTTAGGGTTGAGGGTGGAGGGTTGAGGGTTTAGGGTTTAGGGTTTAGGGTTTAGGGTTTAGGGTTTAGGGTTTAGGGTTTAGGGTTTAGGGTTTAGGGTGGAGGGTTGAGGGTTTAGGGTTGAGGGTTTAGGGTTGAGGATTGAGGGTTTAGGGTTTAGGGTTTAGGGTTTGGGTTCAGCATCTCAAGTTAAAGCATTCAATAGACAACCCGCCCGCCCATTGGGTCCCACAATATGAGGGAACTATTTCACTTTACTCAAGGCCCAAGAAACCTCTCAAAGCGGAAAGAAAAGGTTTAACCACAAAGGGAAGAACAGGCGAAACAACAAAACTGGAGAGGGATCGTCTAACGACGAAAGTGGAGAGAAAACGCCTAACCAGAAAAAGTGGAGAGACGATGTTTTGCACAAAGTCCACGGATGTTTTGCGCAATGCTCAAGAACATTGTTGCAGAATGCCCACGAGATTGCACACTGCCAGCGAATTTTTGACCAAAAGGCAGTGCCCACGAATGTTTTGCACAATGCCCAGGAATGTTTTGCACAATGCCCAGGTTTAAGAAGAAAGAAAGAAATTGATACAAATAAAAACACATCAACACATCAAACGAGAAATACACAAGTAATATATACAGAAGTCTCTCTCTCTCTATCTGCGAAGGGGAGGTTCAGTGTTTAGGGTTCAGGTTGTGTGAGGGTTCAGGGTTGAGTTTTTTCAGGGTTTGGGGTTGAAGGCTTGGGAGCTTCGGCTTCGGATTTGGGCTTCGAAGGCTCTCGGGGTGGTTGGATTCATGTCTCAGGGTTCAAGATTTTGTTTCGAGTGAGGGTTGAGGTGTTTGGGCCCTGAACCCTACAAAATGGCTCCAAGCCCTTCAGCCTTAAACCCTCGAACCCTTAAACCCCTTAAACCCCTCAAACCCCTTAAACCCCTTGAACCCCTTAAACCCCTTAAACCCCTTAAACCCCCAAAGCCTGAAACCCTGAAACCCGGTTTCTGTTTCGGCTCTTCTGCGGGCGCTCGCGCTCGCCGCGGGTGACCTGAAGTGCGCCGTTGCCCGCACGTTTTAGGGTTTAGGGTTTAGGGTTTAGGGTTTAGGGTTTAGGGTTTAGGGGTCCATCCTCACAGATTTCGGCGCCGAAGCCGGATTGTGGACGTTGCAAGCGCCGAAGATGGATTGCCAGTGCTGTTGTGCCACGCCCTCCCAGTTGCGGACGCAGACCACGCCCTCCACCACGAAATGAATGAAGTGACCCCTGCGTTTGCGGGGTGGGATGACTTCAAGATGAGCTTAGCAGCATGCGCAAAGTGTTTCGGAACGTTCCACAGGCTTGACCGAATCAGGGAAGTGGCCATTCCAAAGCAGTTCCGCAAGACATTCTATGCACCATTCAAAGAGATCTGCCCTGAGACCCTCGTTACAGCCAAAATCCTGCCTGCCCGCAAGATTTATACTTGGGTTTTGGGGCCTCAGGCCTTAAAACCTCAGACCCTAAAACCCCTAAACCCTGAAGCCTAAACCCAAAACCCAAAACCCTAAACCCTAAACCCCTAAACCCCTATAGCCTTAAAGCCTTAAAGCCTTAAACCTGTAAACCCTCAAACCCCTAAACCCCTCAAGCCCTTAAACCCTTAAACCCTTACACCCCTAACCCCCTAAACCCCTAAGCCCTTAAACCTCTAAACCCTTAAACCCCTACAGCCCTTAACCCTTAAACTCCTAAACCCTTCAACCCTCAAACTCCTAAACCCTAAACCCTAAACCCTAAACCCTAAACCCTGAACCCTAAACCCTAAACCCTAAACCCTAAACCCTAAACCCTAAACCCTAAACCCCAAAGCCTTCAGCCCTGGACCCCGCCCATGGCCAAGGAGACAACGGGAAGGTCCTGGGTGTCCACATCTGCGGTTCCCAGGTCCAGGGGCTTCGATGTTTTTTTGTTTTTTATTTTCTATTCATTTTTTTTTTAAATTTTTTTTATTCTATTCATTTTTTTTTGTGTTTTTTATATTGGGGTTTATCAAGGGATGAAGACTCGTACCCCTGAGTTTGTACCCCTAAATGTTCCCCTGAATATCCTCCTAGAATGGCCCTTAGATTCCCTTTAGGGATCCTCAAAAAAAAGGGAACCAGTTTAATTAGGGTTTGCGTAGGGTTTGCTTAGGGTTTAGTTAGAGTTTAGTTAGGGTTGAGTTGGGGTTTAATTAGGGTTTGAGTAGGGTGTATTTGGGGTTTAATTAGGGTTGAATTGGGGTTTAATTGGGGTAGGGTCTAATTCGGGTGTAATTGGGGTTTGATTCGGGTTTGATTAGGGTTCAATTGGGGTTTGACTAGGGTTGAGGGATTAGGGTTTAGGTTTGGACAGGCTTCGTATGTTGTGAAGCAAGCTTGCACGGCTTAAACTTCGGGGTCGCATGACCCCCCCCGAATGGGGCGTAGGCAGCGTTCATTTGGTTTGGCCCAAGCTCGCACAGCTCAAAACACGCGCAGCCCTCCCCCCACCCCCCTCATGTGCAAACACAACGCTTGCCTAAAGGGGTCTGGAAAGGCTTCATATGTCGTGAAGCCCTAAACCCCTAAAACCCTAAACCCCTAAACCCCTAAACCCCTAAACCCCTAAACCCCTAAACCCCTAAAGCCCTAAAGCCCTAAACCCCTAAACCCCTAACACCCCTAAACCACGAAACCCCAAAACCCCTAAACCCAAAACCCTAAACCAAAAACCTAAACGGGGGGGGGGGGGGGGGAGGATTGGGGTTTAGGGTTGTACCGAGCTGCAGTTTTGGGTTCGGGGTTTAAGGCTCGGTGGCCGCATCCCAGCCCAAAGTGCCCAATCGGCACAAAGGATCCTCAACCCTGCACCCGGGTTTTGGGGTTTTGGGTTTAGGGTTTTGTTCTTGGGTTTCTGGGGTTTTTGTTGCTTTTTGTTTTTCTTTGTGGGTGTCTTAGTGTGTTTTGGGGAGTCTTAGGGCTTTTCGGGTTTGCAGGGCTTTTGGGCCCCCTCAGCCTCGAGCCCCTCAGCGCAGGCGTCCGAGCTCATCAACTTCGGTGCGGACGCGGTGGACTCGGGAACGACGACGCCTGGATGCGGGTTGGGCTTTTGGTTTAGGGTTTAGGGTTTAATTAGGGTTTAGGGTTTAGGGTTTAGGGTTCAGGGTTCAGGGATTTGGAGTGAGCGTCTTTGTCTCTTTAACTTACTGGTTCTTAGTAGGGAATGAGGTACCTCAAACCCCTGTAGATACCCTGGAAGGGATTTAAAAGGGTACTTGATTCCTTCGGCCCTACTAAGAGCCAGTAGGTTTCAGCCCTTATCCCTCAACCCCGGCCCTAAGCCCTCGTTTTGGGTGCCCTGCAAACACGAACTGAAGCAATCGCCCCCTGGTGACCTCTAAGCCCTGAACCTCGACCCTAACCCTAAACCCCAAACCCCAAATCCCGAACCCTGAACCCTAAACCCTAAACCCTAAACCCTAAACCCTAAACCCTAAACCCTAAACCCTAAACCCTAAACCCTAAACCCTAAATTTAGGGTTTACGGCTTCGGGCTTACGACCCGCTGCCGAACCTCCCTTCGAGATGCCCGGAGTCGAGAACCACACAGCTACGAACCCCATGCCCCTTTCGCAGAGTCCTCGACCCAAAAAAGCTCTCGAAGTCCTGGGTTTAGGGTTTAGGGGAGGGTTTAGGGTTTAGGGTTTAGGGTTTAGGGCCTAGTCCCTACACCCGAAAGACCCAGAGCACTAAGCACCCAGAACCCGAGGAAGCCACTCCGTAAGCCCTAGACCCTGAAACCCTAACACCCAAAAACCCAAACCGTAAAGACCCAGAAAACCCCCAGGCCCCCCACAGCCCCGAGGATTTTTGAGATCCTGCAGTTTGTCTTCCCCGCAGTCTCCTGGACGGTTTTCGGCAATCCTTCCTGGTACTGGTATCTGGTGCTAGGGATTTGGGGTAAGGGTTTAGAGCCCTAAGCCCCAAGCCCTCAGCCCTCAGCCCTAAGCCCGAAGCCCCAAGCCCCAAGCCTGAAGCCCTGAGCCCTAAGCCCTGTAGTGAGCCCTTAAAAGCCCTGTATAGCCCCAGAGCCACTGAGCTCGGGCTTCATCCCCAGGCCACAAGCCCTGAACCCTAAACCTGAAACCCTGATCCCTTGAGAGCAGTAGAGTCGTTATGTTTGGGGTCGAAGGGTTTAGGGTTTAGGGTTTAGGGTTTAGGGTTGAGGGTTTGAGGGTTTGAGGGTTTGAGGGTTGAGCCACTTCAGCCTGCCAGGGCACCAGCGCAGTTTTGATGTCAGGTCTCAGGTTGTAGGAGCTTCAGGGTTTTCGGGTGTCTCAGAGGTTCTTAGGGCCTAAGTGCTTAGGGGTTTTTTGGGTTTCGGCGTTTAGGGGCTTAGGTTGTGTAGGGGTCTAGGGTTTAGGGCTTCGGGTTTAGGGTTTAGGGATTAGGTCACCTTCCACATCCTCTACAACTGGGCAGCTGCGGAGGTCGGGCCAGTCATTCCACCTTGCCTCCCTAAACCCTAAACCCTAAACCCTAAACCCCCACCCCCCCACCCCCCCCCTGACCCTGAACCCTGAACCCTAAACCCTAAACCCTAAACCCTACTTAAACCCTAAACCCTGGACCCTAAACCCTAAACCCTAATCCCTTTACCCTAAACCCTGACCCTAAACCCTTGCCCTTGCCGTCTGTTGGGCCCTGAGACTTGTACGCGCGAGTCGAGATACAAGGCATCTAAGCAAAGCAGCCAGTTTGATCGGCACACAGATGCCACTGTTTGTGCATGTTGCAGATTTCTCAAGCAACGATGCCTCTTGCCAGCGTCAGGAAGCCTTTGATGATACCAACCCTAAACCCTAAACCCTAACCCTAAACCCTAAAGCCTACACCCCATTGTGGAGAACAAGGGCTTGCGCGTAGCTGTATGCGGAGCTGTACGCACGACTCGTTTGTATCACTCGGGTGCTTGCGCTGCACTGCGCTGCACTGCGGAAGACCGTCGCACACATACGTACAAGGCCATTGACAAAAGGAGACAATAGCTACTTCCAGTAATGGGACACCATGGCAACACACGAACACACAGAGCCACAGAAGCCATTGTTTCCAAAAGCCAGAGCTGCGACCTTCAAGCCCTCAACACCCTTGAAGCCTTAAAGCCTTAAAGCCATCTAGCGCTGAGCAGCACACAGCCCTAACCCTAAGACCCTCGACCTCCCTAAACCCTAGCCCCTCAACCCTAAATCCTAAGCCCTTGCATCCGAAAGGCCAAGATTCGGTTCTCCGGAGTGAAGAGCCACGGCGCATTTGGGGTTTAGGGTTTCGGGCTCTAAGTTTTGAATGGTTCAGGGTCTGAGGCTCGAAAGGTATACGTTGCACTAGCAGTCCTAAATAGGGATGATCGTTCCCCCTAGTAAAGTCACTATAAAGCTAAGGACTGTTAGTAGAAGGTACAAGGGGGAACATCCCAATGTAGTATTCCAAACCCTCAACCTTCAACCCTAAAGCCTTAACCCTCAACCCTAAACCCTAAACCTAGGGTTCTGAAGGTCTTGGGTTCTAAGGGCTTCGGGGCTGTAGGGCAGGGTCTTGTGTGCCCAGGGCTTGTATCGCATGCTGTTTCAGAGGGTTTCGCTGTGCGCAAGGGCCTTCGGTGTTTGGGAGCGTGTGGCTTAAGGATTTCGCCTTGCCTCAAGGCATGCAAGGCCTGCACCACTTGCTCTACGAAGGTTTCAATGCCAAAGAAGGCAGGCCCAGATAGGGGGGTTTCCGAAAATAGGGGTACCCTTTTCGGGGCTCCTTTAAGCCGGATGGGTGTGGTGTCTTGGGTTATATAAGGCTGTAAGGGGTACCCCCTATTATCGGAAGTCCACATATTCAGCAATTTGTCGATCGGGCTCTTTCTCTTCGATCTGATCTTGACGCGAGCGCCTGTGGTGGTCGTGATCGCGGGACTCAAGGCCGTCTTGCGCGAGAGTGGCTGGTTAGGGGCATTCGTGCGCTCCTATGACTCTTCCTCGTCATCAAGCATGGATTGGGAGCAAGGCTCCTCACATTTCAATATCAGCTCGCTCGAGGCTGAGAGCCCCCTTGCAGTTGCTACGTTCCTTGATCTGCTCCTTCTCCTTTCTGATATGCGTGTGCGACGCTCTTGGCTATCGCTATCTTGCTCCTCATCCCAACACATCCTTAAGCCCCAGCGCCCTGAAGCAGTACTACCATCAGCCTCAAACTTCCACCCCTGAGCATCCTTCAGCTTAAGCCCTAGATGCCCTACACCCCCCAAGCACCCCCTTGCCGTTAAACCCCGAAAGCCTCAACCGTAAGTCCCTAAGCCCGCCAGCCCAAACATGAACCCTACACCGCAAGCCCCCTAAACCCCAAACACTGTGACCCTACAACCCCTGTAACCCTAAACCCCACCCAAACCCTAAACCCTCAACCCTGAAACTTAACTCCGAAGCCCTAAACCCCCCTAAACCCCCCTAAACCCCCCTAAACCCCCCTAAACCCCCCTAAACCCCCCTAAACCCTCTAAACCACCTAAGCCTCTCAGCCCCTAAACCCCTAAACCCCTAAACCCCTAAACCCCCAAACCCCTAAACCCCTAAACCCTAAGCCCATAAACCTCTCAAACCCTAAACCCTAAACCCTAAACCCTAAACCCTAAACCCTAAACCCTAAACCCTAAACCCTAAACCCTAAACCCGCAAACCTCTCAACCCCTAAATCCTAAACCCTAAACCCTAAACCCTCAACCCTAAACCCCTAAACCTCTCAAACCCTAAACCCTAAACCCTAAACCCTAAACCCTAAACCCTATCAACCCTAAACATCCCTAAACCCTATAATCCCTAAACATCCCTAAACCACTAATACCCTCGAGACCAAGGAGCCTCTCGGGCGCGGCTTCCTGGGGCCGCCTCCGGAGGCTTCTTCTGGGGGTTTGGGGTTTGGGGTTGCGGCTTGTCCCTAAACCTAAACCCCTAAACCCCTAAACCCCTAAACCCCTAAGCCCCTACACCCCTAAACCCCTAAACCCCTAAACATTACACGTAGTTACAACCCGAATAAGTCCGTCGGCCAATGCCAAAACTTCGCCCCGTGCCGGCGTCCGGGGCGGCCCGGCACCACCCGTATCCGGGTGCTTGGAAGCTGATCACTCTCCTTTAAGAACCACTGCGTTCTTGTGATTAAATGAAGTTAAGCATAAGATATTTTCTATTGTTATGTGATCCAAAAGGTGGGTGGGTAGATATTCGATAACAGAGTAATTAATGAGATTGACTAGTGAATGCTTGGACTTGAGATGCTGAACCCGAAATCCTAAACTGTAAAGGGTAACTTGGCCCCTTCGTGGCACGCTTGTTAAGCGTCACGTCTTGTCGTTTGGGGGGGGGGGGGTTTTGGCTTTGGAGTTCCGAGGTTCGAGGGTTTAAAGGCTTGTAAGGAAATTTAGGAGCTAAGGGTTTCGAGAGTGTTTCAGGATGTAGCTTTTGGTTCCCAATTCCTTCGTGGATTCTAGGGGTTTGTGGGTTAAGGGCAGTAGCACCGGAGCTTTGGGGATTTAGGTCTCGCGAGGGTGTAGCAAACAAAGCATAAAACTAGGGTACTTAATCGGGGAGCCCTTATATATCCTTGATATACCCGCCAATGCGACCATACATCAGAAGCTTTTGAAGAAACGTAAGGGACCATATTCGGGGACCATGCCATTACTACCCGTGGATTTACCTTCAAGCGGGCCGTTCTCGAAATCGGGGACTCTTTTTGGGCTCTTGTGATAGTGCGGAGCCTTGTGATTTTAGGGTTCAGGAGCCCAAGAAGTGGACCCAAATTTAGGGAGTTTGCCGCACGGTAAACCCTAAACCCTAAACCCTAAACCCTAAACCCTCAACCCTCAACCCTCAACCCTCAACCCTAAACCCTAAACCCTAAACCCTAAACCCCAAACCCTAAACCCTGAACCCTAAAACCTAAACCCCAAACCCTAAACCCAAAACCCCAAGCCCTAAACCCTAAACCGGCCCTAAACCCTAAACCCTAAACCCTAAACCCTAAACCCTAAACCCTAAACCCTAAACCCTAAACCCTAAACCCTAAACCCTAAACCCTAAACCCTAAACCCTAAACCCTAAACCCTAAACCCTAAACCCTAAACCCTAAACCCTAAACCCTAAACCCTAAACCCTAAACCCTAAACCCTATATGGAATGAGTGAGAGGTCTATCATCCGCAGCTTGGAGCGCGCGGAGTCCGAGCTCAGCTTCGAGGTCCAGCTGCCTTCCGTGTGCAGACTTCGGGTTCAGTGAGTCTGGTCTAGGGTTTAGGGTTTAGGGTTTAGGGTTTAGGGTTTAGGGTTTAGGGTTTAGGGTTTAGGGTTTAGGGTTTAGGGTTTAGGGTTTAGGGTTTAGGCGATCATTGGTAAGAGGTGTGAGAATGTGTCATTGAGAAGAGTCTTCAGACGCTCCAAAGCCAAAACTTCACAATCAGAGCTCCCAACCATATAACTTCCTAAAGCCCCAAACCCCAAACCCTGGACCCAACCCCCCTAAATCAAAAACAGAACCCTAAACCCTAGACCCCAAACAAACCCCTAAACCTAAACCCTGAACCCTAAACCCTAATTCCTAAACCCACTTTCCCCCAAACACCAGGAGGCGGTGTGCTCAGCCTTCCGTACCTTCGACTCGGATGGCTCCGGCTTCCTCACATCTGAGCAGCTGCAGGATGGGTGCTGGGGGGGGGCTTCAGGGGTTTTAGGGTTTTGGGCGTTTCAGGGTTTAGGGGTTCAAGGTTTGGGTTTTTTTGGGGTTTTTGGGGGGTTCCAGGGGGTTTTTGGGTTTCAGAAGGTGTTAGGGTGTTCGGGTATTAGGGTTTAGGGGGTTCAGGGTTTTAGGGTTTTAGGGCTGGGATGTTCAGAGATCTGCAGCAAGCCCACAGAAATTCCCAAAGCAAACCCAGCGCAGGTCGGCACCTAGGCTCTGGAGGGCTTGTTGGGGCTTTGAGGTTAACCCTAAACCCTAAACCCTAAACCCTAAACCCTGAACCCTAAACCCTAAACCCTAAACCCTAAACCCTAAACCCTAAACCCTAAACCCCAAAGGCTGCCATGTCCAGCCTGGGCCTCGACCTCGACAAGGTGGCGGTGGAGGAGATGATCAATGAGGTGGGTCTGCTGGCTTAGGAATGGGTTTAGGGTTTAGGGTTTAGGGTTTAGGGTTTAGGGTTTAGGGTTTAGGGTTTGGGGTTTGGGGTTTAGGGTTTAGGGTTTAGGGTTTAGGGTTTAGGGTTTAGGGTTTAGGGTGTGGGGTGTGGGGTGTGGGGTGTAGGGTTTAGGGTTTAGGGTTTAGGGCTTAGGGTTTAGGGTTTAGGGTTTAGGGTTTAGGGTTCCCGCATTCCTACTAAGAGCCAGGAGGTTTGTAGGGTTTAAGGGCTTAGGGGTCTGGGGGGGGGCAGGGAAAGGTGGGAAAGGAAGCCTGGGGCGTTCGCAGCGAGGGGGTGTGGGGGCGGGGGTGGGGGCGGGGATGGGGGGTAAGAGGGAAGAGGGGGAAGAGGGGGAAGAGGGGGAAGAGGAGGAAGAAGGGGGAAGAAGGAAGAGGGAACAAAGAGTGGTTGCATCCAACAGGAAGAGGGAAGCGGGAACAGTGGGAAGAGGGAACAGAGGGAAGAGAAAGGAGAGGGAGGCGGGAAGAGGGACCGTTGACGGACAGGCGGAGCAGAATGGCGATGGCGTGATCGACTACATGGACCCGTGTTGGGCTGTGCGGTCTTCGGTTTTTAAAGGGTTTTGGGTCCTTAGAGCTTTAGGATTCTAGGGTTTCAGGGTTTTAGGGTTTACGGTTTCTGGGTAGCTTGGATCAGAAGCAAGAGTGACTTCGAAAAAGTTCAGGGTCGTTAGGGCTTTAGTGTGCTATTGGCCTTCAGGGATTAGAGGGGTTTAGAGTTCTTAAGCTCATCTGCTCTTCTAGCAGGCTTAACTTGGACGGAATTCTCCCTAACACTCTAGGGTGGTGGTGGTGGTGGTGGTGCAAGGGGCGAGTTCGGTGTTATGCCGGCAAGAGAGTCAGGGAGACTTTTTTCATGTTTAACAAAACCCCCAAACCCCCCTGAACCCTGAACCCTGAACCCTGAACCCTGAACCCTGGACCCTGAACCCTGAACCCTGAACCCTGAAACCCTAAACCCTAAACCCTAGACCCTACACCCGAAACCCCTGCCAAACCCTAAACCCTAAACCCTAAACCCTAAACCCTGAACCCTGAATCCTGAACCCTAAACCCTAAACCCCAAACCCCAAACCCCAAACCCTAAACCCTAAACCAGGAGTTTCTGGCTGCCTGTCTCTCGGCCCACAGCTTCTGGGGGTCCTCGGTTGTGCCTGTTCAGGGTTTGGGGTTTGAGTGGTTTAGGGTTTAGACCTTAAACCCTAAACCCTAAACCCTAAACCTTAAACCCTAAACCCTAAACCCTAAACCCTAAAAACCCTAAACCCTAAACCCTAAACTCTAAACCCATAGAAGTTTTGGGGTGTTTTACGTCCCCTTGCTGATTTGCCTAGGTGTTCGCGGGACGTGCGCGTTTCCCTGACCCAAACACGTAGGAACTCCTGGGGCTGTGGTTGAGGCTTAGCCCTGCTTGGACTGTTATGTGGGTTCAGGGTTCAGGGTTTAGGGTTCAGGGTTCAGGGTTTAGGGTTTAGGGTTTAGGGTTTGGGATTTGGGATGATTAGGGCTGAGGGACGAAGCTGAACTGGGGTGGATTTCTCGCAGAACTCCCTTTGCAACGCACGATTGCGCCACCATCCGCCAAGTTTTTGGAGACTCTGAACCCTAAACCCTGAACCCTGCCACGGCCAGGGGATACGCGTGGTTTGGGGCTTTTATTTTCTTTTAGAATCTGGTTGACCTTGTAGATGAAGAGTTGGATGCTGTTTTGCTGCGGAGAAGTTGGCTGAAGGCAACTTGCCCGAAGCAACTGCGTGCCTGTTTCCGCTGAAAGATGGTTGGCCCCGAAAGCAAGCCAGCTTCTCTAGTTATAACAAAATGGTTTTCTTGTGTTTTGCAAGCCTGGTTGACCTACTTAAAACCTTTGTCTTTCGAACTATTCGGTTCAATTTGCCATGGCCCCGGAACCACAAAGCCTTGCGAGATGTTTCGGGGACAAGTGAACATTCTGATGCGAGAAGCACCCCGAAGCCTCAAAACCCAATACCCCGGGACCATGAGCTCAGAACCCTGTAAGCCCCAAGCCCTGTAGACCCTTAAGGCTGTCGACGCACGCACGCGCGCGCGCGCGCACGGCACTGAGGTAAAGTCCCCGACAACCACCCGTCGGCCCAGAGGATGAGCAGCAAGATCAAGGCAGGGAGCGCTGTTGGTGTTTTGGGGTTTAGGGTACAAGGTTTTGGGGTTTAGGGTCTTTAGGGTTTAGAGGATCAAGGCAGGGAGCGCTCTTGGGGTCTTGGGGGTTTGGGTGTCTGGGCTTTTGGGGTTTGGGGTTTAGGGCCTTTACGGTTGGGGTTTGGGGTTTTAGGGTTTAATTCGGGTTTGGGGTTTCGGGTTTGGGGTTTAGGGTTTTTGAGGGACTCAGGGGCTTTGAGTGTGTTAGGGTTAAGGGCTTTTAGGTTCTTACGAGGGCTTCTCGTGTCTTCAAGTGGGAAGCCTCAGCCCGCAAGGCTAAACATGAAATCCTAACCCTAAGCCGGCCTCTGCGTCTCGGGTTTCGGGCGTTCGGGGTGTTTAGGGGGTCTAGGGTGTCGAGGGTGTCCAGAGAGTTTAGGGTGTTTAGGGTGTTGAGGGTGTTGAGGGTGGGTTAGGGTGTTGAGAGTGTTGAGGGTGTTGAGGGTGTTGAGGGTGTTGAGGGTGGGTTAGGTTGTTGAGAGTGCTGAGGGTCTTGGGGCCCCAAAAAAATCCATGCCACCTTAGGTCAGGCCTTAGGGTTGAGGGGCTCCGGTTTGATGTCTTGGGTTCAGGGTGTAGGGGGAATCAACCTCAACGTCCCATATAAACATTTCCCCCCCCCCCCCCCCCAGCCCCCCAAAAGGCCCATTAAGGCGCTCAACACCTCAAGCCCCAATAAACCCCTAAACCCGTAAAGCCCTTAAACCCGTAAACCCCTAAGCCCGTACACCCTTCAACCCCTAAACCACTAAACCCCTAAACCCCTAAACCCCTAAACCCCTAAACCCCTAAACCCCTAAACCCCTAAACCCCTAAACCCCTAAACCCCTAAACCCCTAAACCCCTAAACCCCTAAACCCCTAAACCCCTAAACCCCTAAACCCCTAAACCCCTAGACCCGTAAACCCCTAAACCCCTAAACCCTAAACCCCATCTAAAAGAGGTCATTGGGGTTGTAAAAACACACCCTAAACCCCTACACCCTAAACCCCCAAAGTCCCAAAGCCCCCTGAACCCAGAAGCCCCTGTTTTGGCCTCTGAAAGCTGGATCATCGAGGCTTATAAACCCTAGCCCTAAACCTAACCCCTAAAACCCAAACCCGCAACCCGAAACCCGAAACCCGAAACCCGAAACCCGAAACCCTAAACCCTAAACCCTAAACCCTAAACCCTAAACCCTAAACCCTAAACCCTAAACCCTAAACCCTAAACCCCGAGTCGGTAGAGGCCATGCCCACCACCCAATTCGAGAACCAGTCCTACGACTTGCTGGTGCTAGGCGGAGGGTTTCGGGGTTTTGGAGGGTTTAGGGTTTAGGGTTTAGGGTTTAGGGTTTCGGGTTTCGGGTTTCGGGTTTCGGGTTTGGAGGTTCAAAGGTTTAGGTTTGGGGGGTTTGGGGTTTAGGGCTTCTAGAGGGTTCGGGGTTCACGGGTTTAGGGGCTTGAGGGGTTAAGGGTTTAGGGGTTGAGCGGTCAGGGTCTAGCGGTTTGGGGGTTGCAGGGTTTATGGGTTTAGGGGTTGAGGGGGTTTAGGGGCTGAGCTCAGAGTTTAGGGTTTAAGGTTCAGGGTTTAGATATTAGTGGAATATTATTATGGCGGGTGATACGGGAGTATTACTATTAAACCTGCCCTATAAACCCTGGTGTTGATAATGTGAAGAGAACACGGGCGCATTAAATTGGCAAGCAAAACAAAGTGCATGCGCGTGAAACAAGATGAGAAAGAACACGCGCGATTATAATTGCTGTCTTCGGTCCCACATTACTTACATCAGAACACGCGTGAACATGCGATTATATAATTACTGTGCTCACACCTTTGTTAATCCTCCTTACGCTCGTGACTCAATCCTAAACCCTAAACCCGAAGCCCTAAACCCTGAACCCTAACCCTAAACCCTAAACCCTATCTCATGTTGGGATCTACAGAGCGATTCACGCGTCAAGCGAGAGCCCGCCCACCCCCAGGGGCTGGCCCTGCGGGCGTGAAAGCAGCCTTGGAGGCACTTTCTCTTATTCCGGGGTTTTGGGTTTAGGGTTTAGGGTTTAAAGGGTTTAGGGTTGAGGGTTTGGGGTTTGGGTTTTAGGCTGTTTCGGAGTTTCAGGGTTCACGCCGTGCACTGTCACTCCCCCGCCCCCAAACCCTCCAAAACCCCTGAAGGTACCCTGCATACTGATGCTCCCCTGCAGCTCCACAGTATGTATGTAAGTATGTATGTATGTACGTATGTCTGTCTGTCTGTATGTATGTACGTATGTATGTATGTATGTATGTATGTATGTATGTATGTATACCAAAACAGCCTTCGGTTTAAGGCTTCGGGTCTGGGGTTTGCAGTTCCTAATGGGCCTCCACCTCGGACCCCTAAGGTTGTACCCTTGGGTTTGGGGACCCCATCTTAAAGATCCCCTAAGGGAAGAAAACACCCCACACCCCAAACCCCAAATCCCATGATTATAGGGTTCAGGGTTCAGAGAGCTTGAACCCTAAACCCTAAGCCCTAAACCCTAAGCCCTAAACCCTCTGAAATCCCGGTGTTCCTGGGTGTTTCTTGGGGACCAGGCTGCTGGACGCGGCTACCGAGTCGGTGTGGTGGAGCCGAAGGCAGGAACGGGGGTTTAGGGTTTAGGGTTTAGGGTTTAGGGTTTAGGGTTTAGGGTTTAGGGTTCAGGGTTTAGGGCTTAGGCTTCAGGCTTCAGGGTTCAGGGTTTAGGGTTCTGAACTTGGCCCTCCCCCCCACTCCGGAAAGTTTTTTCGTGGTGGCTTTTGGGTGGCGAGGCTTCCC